CTGCAGCCACCTCCCAGCACTTCTGGAGTCTGCTCCAAGACCAGCCCCCAGTGAGAAAAGTTCCGCGCAGCACTGTCTCCAGCTCCACCCCACAAGTGCAAGCCACCCCAACCCCATGAGTCGTGTCTCCATCCCATGCCTCCCTACCCCAGCTGGGCAGCACCTGCCCCTGCCCCTTCCCTCACCACGGGGAGCATCGATTTGCCCCACCATGCCTCTTCCCTCCCCACTCCTCATCCACTACACTGGACTTACCACCTGGAGGCAGCTGTATCAGATATCAGATCAGTATCAGCTGATATCCCTTCTTAAATATCAGCTATCGGTATCATCCCCCAAAATCTCTATCAGTGTACCCCTAGTTGTTATAAAGTTAAATCAGCATGGAGATAATTTAGGAACATAAGTGTTGTTTCTCATGTGCAGGATAGCTTATTTCAGAAGCACAAATCTGGTATAGACGATTAAAATGCAATGGCATTGTCTTGCAGTGCGGCATACTTATTAGGTGGGGAAAGGGATGGGAATTAGGAAACCATTTTCTTTGGATATATCTTCAAGGAAACAAATTGTAAAAGTCATAATTGATTCTTACAGTCCACTGAAAGAAGCCTGCATAAATCCTTTTTATAGTGGGGAGGTGAGGATGCAGGGAGTCTAATGAACAGGTCAACACTTTTACAGTCAAAAGCATCAGACTGGATGTTGATGGGATGAGTGGGAGAGGAAATTATACCTGTCTAGAAGCTACAGTCTGTTTGATTCTCAACAGCTTCTTAGTGAAAACTTCAAAAGATAAAGGACATTTAAAAGTTTCCAGAAGTTAAATATTTTGTCTTATTTCTACCATCAGCACAGCATGGACTGTTGGTATCTGGATCAGCAGAATTTAACAGGGAAGCCGGGAAAGGTGGCTGTTGCCACAGGCAAGGAATCAACAGTATCCTTCAGTGCCAGTTCAATTCTAAGCTTAAATCTCTAATGTTAAACTGCATTATCATTACTACTATGAGGATACAGGTTACCCAGAAGTATGCCATAATTATCCTGAGGATTAGAATATATTCTTAATTAAGTGTATATTAGTTTTTATAGGACTATTTAAACACTAATTTCTATATATATTTTAAACAATTGCACTGATGAGATAATGAAATGAGAATAACCGTGGAAGAAACTTCTTCCTTTTCTAGCTTTGGTACTAAAATCATAATCTCAGGAATGTTTCTGTCTCCTGAGTAATGTTATATATATTTACAGTACTGTAACTATGATTAATTCTGCAGCTTATAAATTTTAAAGACCAGTTCAAAACATGGCACATTTCTATACAAAACCAGCTAAACAAAGTGTATTCATTATTTAATTTATAGATCTCAATAGAAGTTTTGCAGACCCCTGATTTACACGATTCTGACTTATGCGTGTCTCGCGTTTATGCAATTTTTTATTAGGGTTCAGACTGGAAAGTGCCCCTCAAGATGCATGTCATTCATATACGTGAATGCCTCACATGATTTGCAGGCAGAATCAAGCAGAGCTGTGCTGCCATTGTGGTAGCAGCATCTCAAGATGCATAAGAGAGACACTAGACATGCCTCCTAAAGGTGATTCCACCGAGAAAAGGGGAAAAAAGGCTATGACTGCGGTATGTCTGGGGTATGCAACCCCTCACTATTCTATTATTTCCTATGGGGAAAGTCATCCTCACTTATGCGAATTCGACTTGCACGAAATTCCCCCAGAACACAATACTCATGCAAATCAGGGGGTCTACTGTATGTGAAAAATGCAATGGGCGAATATTCACTAAAATTAAATCTAAAATAAATGGGGTTTTCAGAACTTAAACTAAAGATTTAGTTTGCAGTTTGTCTCTTTGGGATGCCACACAGAATGTCATGGGAGGATGACACGCTGCTTTGCTTTTGGTTCTTCTGATTACATGGACTTCCCACTCCGTCCACATAGCCCCTTGTTATAGAAGCACTTTAAAACATGCTTATTTCTATTCTTTTACAGGGTAACACTTCTGACAGTTAAGACCATAGACACCAGGCTTATATTTCATTGATTTGAGGACTTAAATATGTGCTTTAAGTTAAGCACAAGGTTAAATTCTGTCCTGAACAGGTAAAACCAAATAATTCCTCAGTTAGGAAAAAGGAAGGCACACAGAAAGTGGAAAAATGGGCAGGTCACCAAGGAAGCATACCAGGAGACAGCAAGAACCTGCAGGGACAAAATCAGGAGGTCAAAGATAAAGAATGAGCTGCACCTGGCAAAGGAGGCCAAGCACAACAAGAAGGGGCTTTATAAGTATGTTGTCTAGAAAAAAGGGTCAACCTTGTTAACTGTGGGTTCACTGTTAATAAGCTGGAGGAACTCTTAACAGAAGATGCAAAGAAGGCAGATCTACTCAACAGCTACTTTGCCTCATTCTGCACAAAAAAGTAAGTGGAAGCCAGACACCTGGTAAGGATAATTTGGATAAGGAAGAGGGCAAACTGAAGGAGGAGATAACAAAAGAGATGGACAGAGAGCTTTTGTTGGTTCTGAATGAATTCAAGTTAGCAGGGCCAGATGAACTTCACCCAGGGTACTGAAGGAACTGGCACAGGAGATCTCAGAGTACTTGGCAAAGATCTCCATGAAGTCATGGGAGACAGGCCATGTACAAGAGGATTGAAAAAAAGCCAGCACTTCCCCGCTCTTTAAAAATGGCAAAAAGGAGGACCTGGGGAACTACAGGCCAGTTAGCCTCACCTCAATACTTGGGACTTTACTGGAGCATATCCTAAAAAGGTCATTTCTAAGCATCTCAAGGAAGAAATGCTGTTCACAAGCAGCCAGCATGGATTTATGAAAAACAAATAGTGTCAAAGAAACTCTATCTCCTTTTTTGACAAAGTAACTACTTAAGTGGATGAAGGGAATGCTGTGGATATAGTGTATTTTGACTTCAGCAAGGCTTTTGACCACATTATCATCTCATAAATAAATAAGAGACACGTGGGCTAGATAAAATGAATATAACATCAACAGATAACTGGCTCAATAGCCACAAGCAAAGGGTAACTATTAATGGGTCCACTTCAGAATTGTAGGAGGTTTTGAGTAGAATCCCACAGGGGTCTGTATTGGGTCTGGTGCTGTCTGAAGTGTTTATTAACAATTTGGATGCCGTCAGAGGAAGCTTTTTGAGCAAGTTTACAAATGACATGGAAGTGGGAAGGATTGTGAACATGTTGGAGGATCTGAGAACAACTCAGAAGGACCTTGACAGATTGGAAACTTGGGCTAGAGCTAACAGGATGAAGTTAAATGTGGACAAATACAATGTGCTACACTTTGGGAAGAATAATCAAAAACACAAATATAAAATGGGGGACACCCGGCTGAATGGCAGCACTATGAAAAAGCATCTTTGAGTCTTTGTATATCACAGACTCAGCATGAGTCTGCAATGTGATGCAGCTTTACAAAAAATGAATAAAGATTTTGGATGCATTATTAAAAGCATAAGGTGCAAGGAGGTGATAGTGCCTTTCTAAGGACATGAAGAAGTTAGACAAGGTCCAGAGGTCTTTATCAACAAAGATTCTAAAGGACTTGGAAAGCAAATCATATGAGGAGAGGCTGAAGGAAGTAGGTATGTTGAGGCACAGAAAAGGTATTTAAGAGGGGACGTGATAGCAGTCTTGAAATTTCGGAAGACCTGCCATAAAGAAGAGGGAAACCACTTTTTCTTTCTTGCTGCAGAGAACAGGACATGGACCAATAACATGAAGTTGCAGAAAAGTAACTTTAGATTGGATATCAGGAAAAAACTTTTTCACTGTTAGAACCATGAGGCAGTGGAATAGATGGCTTAGGGAAGTTGTGGACTCTCAAGTTGTAGACCCTCCATCAGCGGAGGTGTTCAAGAAGAGGTTGGACAGCCATTGGTCTGGGATGATCTAGGCATAGCTATGCCTATGTTCTACTACGGGTATTTACCATGCTTCTGAACTTTGCTGGTTGCTGAATGGGGCTGTGAGCAACATCCATTCCCTCCCCCACCCCCTCTTTCTGCTACAAGTGTCAGGGTTTTTTTAAACCTTCCTCAAAGGCATTGGGTCTGAACTGCAGCCAAGACTAGGGTTTTGACTAGAGTGTACCAATGTTCCTTCTTGGACCTAAATCCAGAGATTTCTGGCTAGAAGATCTTGTCTTTCCAGTCAGGATCAAGCCAATCACCATATTTGGAGTCACAAAGGAATTTTTATCCTTAGTCAGATTAGTATGGATTATGGGGGTTTTTACCATCCTCTGTAGTGGCTATCTATCCAGGATTTCTTGAGCATCTATTGACATCATTTCACAGAAGCAGAATGTTGGCTGCCATGTTTCCCCCACTTTACCTGTAGCAGGTGTTAGGGCAGTATTGTGTCAAGACCGGTGTTAGTTTTATATAGAGTTTATATTATGGATTGTTTAGGATGCTTTGGATAGGGAAGATCCTGTCTCAGGCAAGGGGCTGGAGGTCCCTTCTAGCCCTATTTCTCTAGGATCATAGGTCTTAAAAAAGGAAGAGACAGGTCAGTGCTCTCCCCATTCCATACTAGCTAGTGGAACTGCACAAAAACCCTTCCTAGAAACTGGCCTTCAGGATGTTCCAAATAAAGCGAAACCACCTGTGGGTGAACCTCACTGCAGGTTTCTGCTTCTAGACTGTAGCTTTACCAACAGACTTATTTGCAGCAACAAGTGCACTTGGGAACTCACTTAGAAAGCCAGATGATCTCCCTTAAGAATGTCTAGGCATGTAGGGGAATAAAGGTCTTATAATAAAGCTGAGTTGAAACTTTTCTTCTTTTTGGATAATCATGATCCATGTTAATATGTTTAGAGTGAAGGTTGTTGATAAAAATAAGCAAGTTTTACCCTAGACTCCATTTTATTCATGGAAGTTAAGAAAAAGATAACACAAAAGAGAGATACTTGTACTTCATTTTTACCTCCAAAGAAATATTTCTCCCCAGTTTTAACTTGCAGAGGACTGTTGGTTCTAACTGCAGAGGCTTCTTCTCCATCAATGGTGAGCACAGCAAAATTTTCTTTAGCTAAGAACCGGACTTCATGCCACTGCCCATCATTGAGTCCAGAGCCTAGAAAGAAAAGAGAATAAGGAAAAATTTTCAGTGTATTACTTTTTCTCCCCATTGCATCTATTCCAAGCATATCTTACAAGTTTTAGACACAGCCTAGTATAACACCAGCCTGATTCAGATTGAACATTAAAATACAGTGGTCTACATCAAGGCCGTCCAACTTCTAAGAAGCTGGGGGCTTCATGCCCCATGGGTTACACCAGTTGGGGATACACCAGTGGAGGTCACCTTAAGCATCCTGCAGTTTCCCCCCAGCAACATGCTCCAGAGGCACTCTGGGTTGCTGGCTATCCCAACACTGCAAGCTGCACTGCACCACCCTGTTGTGTTAGGTCAGGTAGTGGAAACCAGAGGAAAGAGGAGCTCAAAACTCCCAGCTGCCCCAGAAGCCAGACTGACAGGTACAGCCAGGTGGAAGCTGAGGGCCACAAATTGGATAACCCTGGCCTAAATACAAATTATTATGGTACTTATCATTACCTCCACCAGTATAAATATATGTTTGGAACTGCCAAATTTTAATTTGATTAAAAATTAAAATAAAAAATTACTTAAAAGAATACACAGCATCATTCCCAATTCTAAATTTAACTGTCAAAGGAATATCCTTTTACTTTTTTGCTAGAACCAAATTAAAATGATTTGTTTTCCATTTAATGACACCTGCAAGGCATTAGGTCTATGAATTTAAACTTACAAGTAAAGGAAAAGGAAAACTTGGGGGAGGGGAAGGGGGAACAAAGTAGTTCACTGAGTAGCCTCATTCAAAAACTAGTTCTGTCAAGAGGAAAAACTTAGACACAAAGGTTAGAGACATCACAATTCCATTTAAAAAAAGAAAGAAAGAAAAAAGAAAAGCATCCACCACAAATCCTTAAACTAACATAAGCTTACCTTCCTTGCCTGGCAGGGAAGATGCAGATGTTACATTTACATCACTCCTAACTAGGCTAAGGTCTATCTAAGTGCTGATCTGTATAGATGTTCAGGGAAGTTAAACTGGGCAAAAATGGCTGACATGATAAAAGTTAGTTCACCTGAGGAGGGGAACTATGTTAGATTAGGAACAGGTTAGCCCTATCTACAGAAAGTCTGCACATGTTCGGAATTTAGCCCCAGGGCTGGAAAAGCCCAGCCGCTCACCTCAGCCCCAGGACTGTACTCTTCCTCCTCCCTCCTCAAACCTGATTGGGCTATTTTTAATGACCCAACCCCCCACAGACCTGGATGGGCAACTCCCCTGCATGGACCTGCCAATCTTCCCCAATCTCACCTACCCCCACCCTGCCCCCAGTTAGTACCTTGGGTTACTGGTGTGGCTCCTGGCACCAGTGAATGTGTGCACAAGCCACTCCTAAATTATGATCACATGGCTAAACATAAGCTGTATGATCATAGATCAGGTGTATGTCTGCACATACCCACAGCTTGTTTCAAGCATCCAGCTGGCTTTTTTTTTACATTGGCTTTAACATTTTTTAAGTAGGCTTTTTCTTACAGGGCTCCAATCCAAACTATCATAATATACATTTTACAGTAAGCTGGTCAAATATCATGTCATACCAAAAGTATGGTTGGTCTGGCATTTTTGTATAGTGGGAAAATACTGATTTGTTCATGAGTTCTCATTACTGCCAAGACTTTATAGCAAGCTACCAAATGAAAATCAGTTCCAAATATTTTCTTTTCTACCTTGCTAATAAAACATACTGCATCTAACAAACAACTTTTTCTTCATTCACATCCCATGACCAGCTCTCATAATACATAGTTGCACAGTATGCTACCATATAACACAAGTATCCTGTCTCAAGAAGAGACCTTGGCTTTGACCTTGATATATTACTGACATTTATTGTTCAGTTAAGAACCTATATATTTAAAATAAAATGAAAAAAATGGCTACCAATGCCTTCTTATTCTATAATATAGCAAACCAGAATATAATCAATTACAGACTTTTTTGTTTTATTTTAATTCCTTCCTTAATGTTTTATTACCCAAAATTTATTGTGTTTTTTGGTCATCATTGCACATTAAGTTGATGTTCTGAGAGAATTATATACAATGAAAAGCAGCTCCGGTCTCAAGAAGAATGTAAAAAGGTATAGGGAAGCCCTACGAAGATGATCAGGGTACAGAGACTAAAAAGGCTAGGACTCCTACTTTAGAAAGGAGAAGGCTGAGGGGGATATATGAGATGTCTAAAATATGCTCTCCTTCTAAGGCAGGGGTGGCCAACCTCCAGCACATGTGCCACAAGGGCCCTTCAGGTACCCAAAGTTTGCAACCCCTGTGTGTGGCGTGCAACAGACTGGGAAGGAAGCAGGGAAAACAGAAACCAATAGAGCAGGAACCAGAAAAAGGGCAATAGAGCAGGAAGGGGAAGGGGATCAGTGGCACTCAGAGGAGATGTGAGACTCACCTTCTTATAAGCCTTACAAAAAAGGTTGGCCTCATTGCTCTAAAGCAGGGGTGCTCGACCCTTGGCCCACAAGCCAAAAGTAGCCTGCAAAGCCATCATGTCTGACCCTTGGGACTCCACACACATCAGGACATTTGCCAGTGGTGGCCACATTATTTGGCCACATCTGCCAAATTCCCAAACACCAAGCAGTAGTTGTGACCACTTCCCTGCAATGGGACTGGGCTATACCCACTTCCTCTTCCACTGCATGACCCCTCTCCACTGCAGAGCTGGGTTGAGGTCAGGCCATGCCCTGGCCCCCTCACCAAAGCAGGATGGGGACAAGCATGCCTCCTCCTTCCCACAGGGCCAGGTTGGGGCTGGGTCAAGCCCCCTTCCCTGCAGGACCAGGTGGGAGGATTAAACCCTCTTTCCCATTGGACTGGGTTGGAGCTGGGCTGCCCCCTACACTTACTCAGTGTGGCTGGATGGGGCTCACTGCACCCATCCCAAGATCCAGATTTGGACCATCAGCCAGATACAACCTGCAGGCAGACTGGGCACTGCCCATCCAGTATGTCAAGCAAAAATGTTGAGCACCACTGCTCTAAAGCATCTAGGATCACCATGCTCAGAGAAAGGATATTGGGCTAGATGGATCATTGGTCTGAGTCACTATGGCACTCCTTACGATCTTAGACTATTGCAGTGAATCTCAGCCAGGGTGCTGTGTCACTGTAGGATGCTACAAAATCCTTTTAAGCCTGCTGTGGGTTGCCTTGTCCTATTAGCTGTTAGGTGTGCAAAAAACTATAGGGCCATGTGAAGCTTTGATTTGCGATTCAATTTGGAGAAGATTCAGCCCGATTTGGAGGACAAATCTCAAATCTGAATCAAATTGCTAGAGGCTGGCCTGACACACGATGCAGGCAAGAAAGCTGGTTAGTGAAAATGGACATGGTGGCATCACAGGGTAAGGAAAAGGCTGGGGTGGGGGGGAAGGGAGATGTAGAAGCACAGGTAAAAGTGTAGAGATACCTAGGGAGTCAGATGTCCAGTAGGTTGCAGTGTGTCGCAATTACACTGTCTAACCTATATTGAGTCCATGAGTTTCTGTACCTAGGAGGTTGATGAAGTGAAGTTCATAGGTCTGGCTGCGAAAAGTGGTTTGTAATTTGTTCCTTCTCAGGATCAGGCCTGAGAGACTGGAGGCAGAGTGTTTTTTTGGTGAGGAATACCCCACAGGTAGTTGGGTATTGCTGTCTTTGACAGATTCTGGTGTACAGTTTGTGAGGGTACTGGAGATAGTTGGCAGGTTTTGTGTTTTGAGCTGTAGGAAGTTGGCTTCAGTTTTGGTGATGAGGTTAGGTTCTTGTTTGAATGGACCGACCACTTTTCAGAGCCGGGCCTATGACATTCACTTCATCAGCTTCCTAGGTACAGAAACTCATGGACTCAATATAGATTAGACAGTGGAAATGTGACACACTGCAACCTGCCGGATATCTGGTGTTGAGCCAGCTAAGTTATTTTGACCTGACATCATTTACAGTGGTGGACTAGACTGAGGCTGTAGGGGAGGAGGAGACCTCACTGGAGCACACTGCCATGTTGTGCAGAGGCCCCAGCACCAAGAAGGGTGCACCTGAACACACACAAAGTATCACCCATGCATGTCATGAGTTTTGCCTGTTAGCAGCCAGAGGTGCAGGGCCCCAGAACTCAGACTCCCCCTGCACCTATCTCCTTGATGGCTGGCAGGCTTTGTGGCCACAACAGGGCCTAGCAGGCCTGCAGTTTTCACCGCTGCACCTTAACACACACACACAGTGTCACCTGTCACGAGTTTTGCTTCTCATCAGTTTGAGGTACAGTTTCTCAGAAACACCTGTACCTATCTCTTTGAAACTTGGCAGGCTTTGTAGCCTGACCAGGGGCTACCACCCCTGCAGTTTTCACCCCACTGTGGCTTAACACACACACAACATGAGTTTTGCTTTTAGGACTTTGATGTGCAGTTTCCCAGAAACCCTGAGAATGCTTTTACTGGGGAGAGAGCTTTTATATGTTTTCTGCCCTTCCAACTCTCTACAGTTGCAACAGATCTATTTATAATTCAGAGCTTTGGTGAGAGCAGTGTCACCAGAGTTATATGTTCAGATGTCTCTATACAGAGGGTGAAGAGACCTTATTTTATTCGTGTGTGTGGAAAAAAAAAAGTTACAAATAGATAAGTAATAAGTATTATGAAATAAGAGGTGAAGGATCTATTCTGCTAACTTCTCTATTCTAACTGCTCTATCTTAGTAGCAGTTCTATTTTTGAACTGCTACTAAAATGCAAGGTATGCTTACACTTCCCAATCTTTTCAAAGTACAATGAAGAGATATCCGAGTATGGTAAGTCAAGATGTGTGTACTCCCCACCTGTGCCTCCAAGCTGTTCACGCAGACATTCTACATGCAACTAACAATTTCAGTAGGCTAATAATATCCTACCAGTCCTTTCTGGTTCACAGTCTCTCTCGGTGTGTACTGCTAATCTAGTTACTTGATGCAACATATCTCACATTCCCCTGATAGGGTGCATC